ACACAGCCACAACAGTCCCTTCCTGCATATTCCGGTGCTCTTGGAGGTTTTTCAGCCGAGTCAAGTTCCCTGTTTGCTGGACAGAGCTTTGCTAGGAATCCAGGAAAGGCTCCCCTATTTTCCGGAGGTCTTGGAGGTTCTTCAGCAGAATCTGCCTCCCTGTTTGCTGGCCCGACATTCGCCAGAAATCCGGGCACGACTCCACTGGTTTCACCTGGTCCAATTGCTCCACGAGTGGCTGCACCTCCCGGTTCAGGTTCTACGTTGATGGATTTAGTTAAAAATATTGGTCTGTCTGCTCTAAATATTACCAATATTGTTACTACTAAATTGACTGTTGTGGAAGATTACCTGTCTTGGTGCACTCAATTTGAGTCTTTTCTGGTGTCCAATGGGTTTTTGGGTATTATTGATGGTTCGCTCACTGCTCCTCCCCCTTATAGTTTTTATGCCTATCACCATGACGCACTTAATCCGGATTATTGTAATTGGTTAATAATTGATCAAACTGTCCGATCTTGGTTATTTGCTACTTTGTCTCGTGATGTGCTAATCGAGGTGCGTGATTTAAAAAATGCTTCCGCTATTTGGGATCGTTTGGAATCCCATTTTATGTCTGCTAGCCTTGCTCGGTCCATGGAACTAAAACGCCAGTTGACTCAGTCTCGGAAGAGTCCTACTCAATCCATGGATCACTATCTCCGGGACATCAAAATAATTGCTGATAATTTAGCTATGATTAATGATCCGGTTTCTCCCCGTGAACTGTTCAAGACAATCTTACTTGGTTTGGGCTGAGACTATGAGTCTCTTATTACCTCAGTTGGTCTTTTTCCGGAGAGCTTCACATTTCAGAAGCTGCGCACATGTTTGATTGAAAAGGAGCAAACTTTACAATATATGCGGTCCATGGAAGAACCTCTTCAGGCTCAGGCCTTCGCTGGACAGGCCCAGGCAGCGGGACAACCTCCTCAGGCAGCCGGTCAGCCAAACAGGGGGCGCGGACAGCGCGGCCGAGGTGGCCGCGGGCAGCGGGGCCGCGGATATGGTCCTCCTCATCCTGGTCACGGTCATGTACCATCATATGGCTATGCCGCACCGCCACCAGGCTTCTTTCCAGGGGGTGCGCCTCATGCTGGCATTCTTGGGGCTCCGGGATCGGCAGGTATGTTTGTTCGGTCAAATTTTTATACTTATGCCTTATCTGCTTCTTTTACTAATCGTGGCTATGCAGGCTCTTCCTCAGTTGAAGGGAACTCTGTCCCCCCTCCTATAGTCTGTCAAATTTGCTATGCTCCAGGTCACCCCGCCTCTACATGTCTGTCCTGTTTTGTTCAGCCGGCTGCACCTGCCCTTGCTACTACAGCTCCTGAGACTTCTTACATAGTGTGGTATCCTGACTCAGGTGCCTCGGCGCACATGACTCCTCATGCAGGTATTTTGACCAATAAATCATTTTCTCCCAACTCTCGTTCTATTATAGTAGCTAATGGTACAACTCTCCCTGTTATGCACACTGGTCAAGTCACTTTGAATTCCTCACCTCGCCCCCTTCACTTGAAATCTGTTCTCCATGTTCCTAATATTCAGTATAATCTTCTGTCCATTCAAAAATTGTGTGCTGATAATAATTGTACTGTAATTTTTGATAAAAATTGTTTTTCTGTAAAGGACATAACAACGGGGGCGGTTCTTCTTCAAGCATTCAGCGATAATGGAGTCTATCCCGTTCGCCAGCCGGCACCTCTGATCTACCTGTTGCTTTGTCTGCTGTTTCCCTTTCCATTTGGCATAATAGATTAGGACATTGTGGAACTCATGTTTTAGATCAGCTCCGTCTAAATAATTTAATTTCTGGCACTTCAGCTACTTTTACTGATTGTATTCCTTGTCGTTTAGGAAAATCATAACGGTTACCCTTTAATAAAGTTTTTCACAATAGTCCTTGTGCTTTACATATAATTCATTCCGATGTTTAATTGGGAATCTCCCGTTTTATCTCACCTTGGTTATAAATATTATGTCTGCTTTGTGAATGATTTTTCCCGTTTTACTTGGTTATATCCCATGCGACGCAAGTCTGAGGTTATCACTCATTTTCAGCATTTTAAATTAATGACTGAAAATTTACTTGACCGCAAAATTAAGATCTTTCAGAGTGATGGAGGGGGTGAATTTGATAATTTTAATATGCGAATTTTTTTTGCTGATCATGGCATACTTTTTCATAAATCTTGTCGTGAAACTCCACAGCAAAATGGCGTGGCTGAGCGAAAGCACTGTCATTTACTTGAACTGGCGCGTACTATGCTCATCACCGCTAATTTGCCAGCCACGTTTTGGGTTGATGCTATTCTTACCGCCACTTGTATTATTAATCGGCTACCCTCTCCTACTCTACATGGTTTGTCTCCGTTTGAAAAATTGTTTCATACTAAACCTGATTTATCTGGAATGCGTGTTTTTGGGTGTGCTTGTTTTCCTAATTTCAATGCCTCTTCGGCAAATAAATTATTGCCCCGATCTGTTCAGTGTGTTTTCTTGGGATATGCGTCTGAATATAAAGGGTACCGTTGTTTTGATCCTATTTCTGGTAAGGTGTATATTAGTAGGAATGTCAGATTTTTGGAGCATGTTTTTCCTTATTCTATCTTAACCAGTACCACGATGTCTCCATCTCCTTTGTCCATTCAGCCTGCACCTTTAATCTCCACTCCTTTTCGAGATTTGCCCCCAGATCATGCCCCTACTCCCTTTCCTTTATCCCTGCAGCCAAACCCATCTCCCAGCCTTGTTCTGAGCTTTGACCAGCCAATGCTGTCCCCCTTACATTCTGCCCAGCACTTCCCAGTGGGTTCTGGCAGCACACCAACAACTCCAGCCACTCCAAATACAGTCTCATGTCCTTACGGCTTACTCTGATGCAGATTGGACTGGATGTCCGGACACAGGTAGGTCCACCTCTGGTTATGCGATATTTCTAGGACCGAATCTCATCTCTTGGAAGTCCAAGAAGCAACCCACAGTTTCCAGATCCTCCACTGAAGCTGAATATCGTGCTGTGGCTTTTACTGTTCAAGATACACTTCATATTCGGGCTGTTTTGTTTGAGTTGGGGTTTCCGGTTCGGGAACCTACTACCTTATTTTGTGATAATGTCTCTGCTTCGTATCTTTCGGTTAATCCTATTCAGCATGCTAGGAGTAAGCATATTAACATTGATTATCATTTTGTGCGCGAGCGGGTGGCCCATGGTGATCTTTGTGTCAAATATGTTCCTACACAGGCTCAGCTGGCAGATATCTTTACTAAGTGCTTGTCTCCACAACGTTTTACTCTTCTTCGTGACAATCTGCGCATTGTTTCCCCTGCACAGCTTGAGGGGGTGTAATAGTTTTATTATTATTATTATTATTATTATTATTATTATTATTATTATTATTATTATTATTATTATTATTATTATTATTATTATTATTATTATTATTATTATTATTATTATTATTATTATTATTATTATTATTATTATTATTATTATTATTATTATTATTATTATTATTATTATTATTATTATTATTATTATTATTATTATTATTATTATTATTATTATTATTATTATTATTATTATTATTATTATTATTATTATTATTATTATTATTATTATTATTATTATTATTATTATTATTATTATTATTATTATTATTATTATTATTATTATTATTATTATTATTATTATTATTATTATTATTATTATTATTATTATTATTATTATTATTATTATTATTATTATTATTATTATTATTATTATTATTATTATTATTATTATTATTATTATTATTATTATTATTATTATTATTATTATTATTATTATTATTATTATTATTATTATTATTATTATTATTATTATTATTATTATTATTATTATTATTATTATTATTATTATTATTATTATTATTATTATTATTATTATTATTATTATTATTATTATTATTATTATTATTATTATTATTATTATTATTATTATTATTATTATTATTATTATTATTATTATTATTATTATTATTATTATTATTATTATTATTATTATTATTATTATTATTATTATTATTATTATTATTATTATTATTATTATTATTATTATTATTATTATTATTATTATTATTATTATTATTATTATTATTATTATTATTATTATTATTATTATTATTATTATTATTATTATTATTATTATTATTATTATTATTATTATTATTATTATTATTATTATTATTATTATTATTATTATTATTATTATTATTATTATTATTATTATTATTATTATTATTATTATTATTATTATTATTATTATTATTATTATTATTATTATTATTATTATTATTATTATTATTATTATTATTATTATTATTATTATTATTATTATTATTATTATTATTATTATTATTATTATTATTATTATTATTATTATTATTATTATTATTATTATTATTATTATTATTATTATTATTATTATTATTATTATTATTATTATTATTATTATTATTATTATTATTATTATTATTATTATTATTATTATTATTATTATTATTATTATTATTATTATTATTATTATTATTATTATTATTATTATTATTATTATTATTATTATTGTGGAACTCTTTATGTAATTATAACTCTTTTGCCTATATATATATATCTGCCAGGGCTACCATTATCGGTAAGCCTGATATTATTCTCACACTATGTTTATATTGCAAAAATAGGACTAACATGTCAGCATTTATTGTCACCTTGTAGGCATGACTTACAAATATTTGCAATAGGGTGCATTTAACATGACAATATTTATTATAACTAATGATAGTATTTTGGTATTTTTCAATCATAGCAATATTTTTCATATATGACAATAACAACTCATATTTTGGCTAACAATATAGTAGTCCAATTTTAGAATTTCAAACCTCATTTACTCCTATTTAGGAAAATTTCCCCTAAAATTTATGTATATTAAACCATCGATATATACTATAGTCCTCCACTATTTATGATCACGCGTCTATTTTGTTACTCCATGTGCATTTCTTAACCGGCCAAAATTTACATAGTTCTCTCCAAACAAATTGACCTAGCTGCAACACTATTTTAATTAGAGTAATTAGTGTAAAAAACGTTCAAAACTTGAGGGTTTCAAAAATGAAATCGATTCATCTTGTGCACACACTTGTCTTCTTCTCCTATCTGCACTTTCCCCACTTCTAATCACTAATTGATTTCTTGTGCATCTGGGTCTTGTAGTTCATGGAACCTGATAATTTAAAGCATATTACACAACACAACAACAAATGAGTATTAGTTCAACCCAAATCTGTTTCTACTTCTAAAAAACATTTTTTAGAAATTGAAAGGTATGCAAATTTGAAAGAAAATGATACATTTTCTAAGAACATATTTGTAGAATTGCTTATTCTCAAATCTACAATCAACAACATAATTTATTAATTTACTTATTCATTTTTATTAAGTGTCTCTTATAGAATGACACGTTTACTTTAAAATGTTATATCATTTTGTCAATCACTTCATATATATATACAATATCGTATTTTCTATAAAAATATCTATCTCATTGCATTTCAGATTGGAATTGGTTGTTTCCCTAAAACACTTCCATGGTATATTTGATCTGGAAATACAAAACTCATTACATACACTAAGTGACTCACTCGCTCTATATTCATGCACAGAACACTAAAGTTGGAGGTTTTCCGACAATTTGTTTATACAATACATGAGTGCATGCATTCTTGGTGTGGGTGTATTCTTTTAAGCCTTTTTCTGAATTCGAAGTGTACATTTTAAAGATTTTTTATGCAAATTCGTTAAGTGCCCGAGTCTTATTTGAAAGTATATGAAACCACACTTACATTTAATGTTTAAAGCAAGTCCGGCAGGATTATACTCGTGAATAGATGTTACGAAAAAAACTAAAAGAATAATCCTCTTGTACTCATGAACAATCCCCCTTGCCTTTGATAATCGGGGTTGTTAATTTAGTTAACTAAAATTGTGAATTTCATTCTGTTTACTATATGCACAAAATGAAACAGGTATTCTCTTCATCGGTGAAGATGCACTGCAGTGCAAGAATCACATACAGGCCCGCAGGAGCATTCCATGGTCGTACCTTGTTTTGATTCACATTTATTGTCATGACTATTTTTATTCACTACTACTCTGTATTATTTATATAGAGGAACTGGATGTTATTATGAAGACACATGGAGAACTTAAAAATTTAATGCTGCATTGGGAAATGGGAAGTAAAAAGTCAACTTTGTGTGAAATTATTTCACCCAATGAGAAGAATTCTTTTAGAATTGTGATCGGCTAAGTTATAACTGCATGAATACTTTTGTTAAATATTCCTCTAAGTTGCAGTCAATAATTTCTCGATTCACTCCTATATGTACAGACAGTTACACTTGAATTCATAGTAATTAAATTCATCGTATTAGTTAATTTTTACATTTCCCATTATCCTAATTTAGTTAATTAATACTTGTCTCATTTTTTCTATTACTTACATTTGTTTAATTGTTACATTTTTCATTAAAGTATAAAACTAGTTAATTGTTACATTTTTCATTTCCCTATTAGTTAATTTGTTAATTGTTGCATTTATCATAAAAGTATAAAACTAGTTAATTGTTACATTTTTCATTTCCCTATTAGTTAATTTGTTAATTGTTGCATTTATCATAAAAGTATAAAACTAGTTAATTGTTACATTTTTCATTTCCCTATTAGTTAATTTGTTAATTGTTGCATTTTTCATTAAAGTATAAAACTAGTTAATTGT